CTGTCTCTCACAGTTGAAGTGTACCTCTGGTGCAAATTACTGACCTCTGTCATCATTTTAAGTGGGGGAACTTGCACAATCGGTGGCTGCCTAAATACTTTTTTGCCCCACTGTACATTAAAGAAAAAAATAAACATTTTAAAGATTATATATTGTAAGAGCATTAGTTTTTCTGATTAAAACAAGTCTCATGTTCACTGTCCTAACTGTTCGTTGCAAATGTGTCCTCCCTAGTATTTATAACTACATGAACAGTGGGCCTGTTATATCTTGTGGCTCCAAAATTGCAGTGTTGTTTGCATCATTGCTGCCCTGCGTGAGCAGATTTTTGATTTTCTGCTTTTTTTTTTTATTTATTTATCACATTTTAGGCTAAATGTGACCAACAGACACAGCAATAAACAGTACTTGTCTGGATTTAATGAAGTTTGTTCTTGCTGATTGAACTATCCATCAATCCATCTTCTTCCAATTATCTGGGGCCAGGCCGCAAGGGCAGCAGCCTAAGCAGAGAAACCCAGACCTCCCTCTACCCAGCCACCTCCTCCAGCTTGTCCAGGGGAACACCAACGCGTTCCCAGGCCAGCTGAGAGATATAATCTCTCAGCTGGCCTGGGTCTGCCTGGGTCTGTCCCACCAGGGCCTTCTCCTGGTGGGACATGCCCAGAACACCTCACCCAGGAGGCATTCTTGTCAGATAACCATAACCAACCTCAACTGGCTCCTTTCGCTGTGGAGGAGCAGCAACTCTACTCTGAGTCCCTTCTGGTTGGCCAAGCGTCTCACCCTATCTCTAAGGGAGAGGCCAGCCACCCTTCGAAGGAAGCTCATTTCTGCTGCTTGCATCCGTGATGTCATCCTTTAGGACACTACCCACAGCTCGTGACCATAGGTGAGGGTAGGGGCGTAGATCGACCAGTAAACTGAGCGCTTTTACACTCAGCAGACTCTGCTTCCTCTAGGTAAGACTTGCCAGATGGATTAAGGAGGTCCTTAAGTATTCCTTCCACCACCAGAAAATGTTCTCAGTTGAAGTCAGCAGTGCTGATCGACAGGCCAAGTGGAACACTATACACAGTGCAGGTAGAGCACTGCTTCAGCCACTGCTAAACCGCGTTCCACTTGGCCCGTCAGTACCTATAAGCTGCCCCACAGGCTAATCAAGCCAAGGACTCCTTCAGCTTGGTGGCTCCCTTCACCTCTGGTGTCACCTCTGGTTGGTTACCACCAGGACAGGCACATATTATTCAGTTTCCATATTTAAATGTTAGTCACCAAACACATTTTTTAAAATTGTTCAATTCTAATATTTTTGCATTTTTAGAGGAGAGAATAAGGTTGGAGGCTATTTGGTCTTGTTTTTCCTCACTGACGTTTCATAAATATGACACTTGGTATTTGTATGTTTTTCAGATGTGGAGACTTCCAGTGGAAAACATGTTATTCATAAAAAAGTTGGAGATACTGTGGAGCTTTCATCAGGCTTACCAACTGAAGGGGTGACTGCGGCAACATGGAAATATGGAGAAATAATAATTGCAGACAAAGTCATTGAAAACAATATGGGTGTTTCTAAAAGATCTCCATTTAAGGACAGATCAGAGCTAAACCAGGAAAACTTTACTTTAACAGTGAAAAAATTGACTCTTCAAGACTCAGGTGATTTCATTTTTGTGTCAGCAACAAAAGAGAAACAAAGGGATTCAGTCATCATCACTCTGCAAGTTCATGGTAAGATACTTTATTGAGTAAACAAGCGTCTTGATACAATACAATGTGATATTTTGAAATAGTTTATCAACCTCCCTTTTATACTCCATATCTTTTTTGTCTGGTTTTGTTTCCTGATTTCCTGAGAGACATAGCTTGATTTATATATTTTCCTCAAGTAGCAAATCCTTTAGCTTACAGATAAAATGTGTATTTTATCATAATTTATATAGTGGTCATTATTTGACTGAGTTTTAATCTCTTGTCTTCATTTTTTATGTGTTTTGTTTTTGAGGTGGTTTTTAATTTTTAGGTTTAGATACTATGAGACCATCTGATACAGAAGTTAACAGTAGTTGCCCCTTTAATAAACTTTGGGACTGATAATGTTGTTGTTTGAAGTTGTTGATGTTTGGCCTAATTTTATAAAATAGATTTGCAGGACTCTGCACAAACATATACTTTAAACTGTGATGTAAAATGTGACCTGACACAGACTCTCTTTGTCCTTCTGTTTTCTCATTAGAACCCATATCTAAACAGCCTGTCATAAAAATCAATTCTACCTGGATTTCCTCAAATGAATCATGTAAAGTTCTGCTGGAGTGCAGCACAACTGGTGATGTCAGCTACAAGTGGACTGTAGGAAAACAAACACTAACTGGTCCCAGGCAACAATACATCATCAGGCAGGATGGAGAGACCAATGTCACCTGCACAGTTTCCAATCATGTCAGTGAGAAATCTGCATTTCAAACAGTGAAGTGCAGCAAAGATAATTCACACAGAAAAGAAACAGGTATGTGGAGAGTGACTGAGGTTGTGAATACATGTAACTGCTCTGTTTATATAATTTATTATTACTATTTGTGATTTCAGAGTGCAGCTCTTCTTCTTCTCTTCTCATGTTCATTGTTGGGCTGTTTACTGGTGTATTGATCACTCTACTGTTGCTCTTTCTGCTTTACTGCATAAAGTCAAAGGGTAAGATTTCTTGTTAATGCTACTATTAAAAATGTTCTCCTAATCTCCGAATCTCCTAATACTTTCTGTTTTGTTTTTTACAGGTCTGTGTCACAAAAGGTTGGTGTCGTGGTCCTGGGTTTGGGGCCCCAGTGTTTGTGTTTCTGGTGTGTCGTTTTATTTGTTTGTTTCGTTTTAGCCCATATTCTTTGATTTTGTGTGTTTCATGGTATAGGCTTCTGTATTTCTAGCTCCCTATAAGTTATCTTTAGGATTGTGATTTCTAGTCTTCAGGTTTTGATGCTGTGCCTCTCCTGTGTACCATGTGTCACATCGACTCAGTTATGTTCTCATATCTGTGTTCCCTCCTGTTTCCCATCCCCTCATTATCTGTGTCTATTTAGTCCTCTGTTCTCCTCTTTCTTCTTACCTCCCAAGTCCCAGTTTTTTTGTTTTTGTTTTTTTCAGGTCTCGGGTTTCTCTTTCCCAGTTCAAGGTTTTGTGTTTCAGGTTTCTGTATTGTTTTTCAATGCAGCTCGGCCTTATGTTTGCACGTGGGTCCACGCTCCACACTGTCTCCAACACAGACGTTACAGTTGCTGAAACTCATTAACAGCAGGAATTTTAAAAAATACGTTTATTCTACTAATAAGAATATTTTTTAATTATTTCAGGCTCACACAGTCTGAAACAATCATCCAGGAAGAAAATCAACAGCATGTGTACTCGGCTCTTTCCCACGGTCAGGTCTAACACTGTTTACCTGCTTTCATCAGTCATATTATATTCTTCAGGAATTATTCAATGTTAGATCATTTGGAGATGTTAATTATTGTGACTTTGACTGAACTGTTATTAACTTGCAGGTGATCATTGTGTTTATGAGACAGTTAGAGGATCTGAAGATGCTGGACCAGGTACAGTATGACAATGATGAGCCATCAAAGTAATAAATGGGAACTCTGGGATTTCAAGAATTTCATTTGTGACATTCTTAAACTATTCTTACTGTATTTCAGGTGGATCACAAATACAGTTCATCAAATCAGACTAGACGAGCTGCAGTTCTGCATGTCTGTGGTATTTTTTGGGTGCCTTATTTTAAATGTAATTATTTTATCAATTATTATATCAAATCATCCTATTTAACCCCCTCATGCACGAATTATGACAACCTCAATCAGGATTTGTTTCGTATGTATTTTTATGCATCTTTAGGCATGAAAAGATGCATAAAAATACTTAAGAAACAAATCTTAAATGAGGTTGTCATAATTCATGCATGAAGGGGTTAAAAAACAATAATTACAATGAAACACGTCATACATCTATAGTGCATTAAACAACCAGTGGGTGGTAGGGTATGGAGAGACACATCAGTGTCCAATATAGTGGTTTATGTGCAAGTATACCTTCAACACTGACACACATACAAGAAAACAGCTTTTGATTAGCTTCCACTGTAGTGACCACTATTTTTTTTTTTTAAAAACTGGATGATTTAAGAGGATAATTACAAACAGCTCATTGTAACATTGAAGGTATAACACCATTTTTAATGTATAAAGTGTCATGTAAGCCTGTCTGTTTCATATGACCTGGTTTGAATTATCTTATGAATCTCTGAGAGGAAACAATAAATTGAAAAAAAAATACTTTTCTGGCATTTGCTCACATCTGTCCGTTTGACTGCTTATTTAGTTAAAACCCACTGTTAACAAAACTAGTGAAAACTATAATGTTTAAAATGTAAATTTCTGTAAACCTTTACAAATTATGTAAGTTTGTCTTCTTTTTATAAACATGTGGGTAACCAACATAAACTAACATGAGTATCTACTTTTGTAGCTCTGAACTCGATCAGAGTGGTATGCCAGTTTTCCACATATATTAGCACTTATGACATATAGTGTTTGTTATTTAATAATTTAATCTGTTCATATTTAATTCAATATTTAATAATATATAGTTGCTAAAAGTGCATTAAACTGAACATTTATTTTGTCATTTCAGCTTCAACCTGAAATTGAAGTGAAATTGTTTTTTAGAATGAAACATGAAAGTAGGATGATGCTGCTCAAAACCATCAAACATGTGGTCCTCAAACAGAAAATCATTTCAGATAAAAATACATAGATCAGCACACTAAAAGAGTGAGACTGACATTTCTGAAAGTTGGCATTAAAACTGAAAACAGTCTGGAAGCGAGACATTCTTCAGCATATTTATGGTCACCACATAACTTTTAAACCTAAGATCTTACACAGATTCTTGGAGATTAGGCAGTCCATTAAAGTAACAAATGAGCTCTGACAGTCTCGGTCATTGTGTCCTTGGGCAAGACACTTCACCCGTTGCCTACTGGTGGTGGTCAGAGGGCCCGGTGGCACCAGTGTTCGGCAGCCTCGCCTCTGTCAGTGCGCCCCAGGGTGGCTGTGGCTACAATGTAGCTTGCCATCACCAGTGTGTTAATGTGTGCATGACTGGATGTAGTGTAAAGCGCTTTGGGGTCCATAGGGACTAGTAAAAGCGCTATACAAATACAGGCCATTTTTACCATAAAACCCTGTGAAAAGTAAGAACACTCTTAAACAGAATGCAACAAGGCTGCCACAGAAATATTCCCTTCACAGGTCAGGGTCCTGTTAAGAAACCAAATCCCACAGCTTCAGAGCCCTTATACAGCTTATACAATACATCTTATCTATAATAGACTCTGGGTGTCTGCATTATGCCACGCATGATTTGGTTTCTATCATAGGAGACAAAAATGGACAAAATGGAAAAAAAGATCTGAGAATAAACATAGGACAAGAAAATTGGCGGGGGATTTTGGCAGACTGTAGAAAGTATGTTAGAGAGGCGAGAGGGGGGTTACACAGACACTATCATACCCTGAGATTACATAGAATAAAAGTGATGAAGGACAACATGTGCTGGAAATGTAAATTAGAATTATGAACCTTCCTGCATTGTACATGGCAAATGTGTTCATCGTAACTGAGTAATTTCTTAGACACAACAACCCCCCTGACTCCTGATGTATGTTTGTAGAAAAAGGGGGGACCCCAATACTGAATGTATCTAAAAGATGGTAAAAAATGATAGAATTTTAAAACCTCTGTTTTTGTCTTATATACACTATTACTTTGTATGTTTGAACATGTTTAAGTGAATCACTGCACCTATTTTCTTATCACGATATACACAAATGAGAGGTGGTTTAAGACTTTTACACTAAATAACTTATTTTCCCTCTATCAGTCTTAATGTAATTAACATTGTCAATCATGCATGACACAAAGTGTGTGCTGACATTTGTTGCTTTCAAACAGATGGGTTTTCTTTTTATGCATTCTTATGTGATCATTACTGACCCAGCAGAGGGCGCTGAAGACAATAACTACTGCATTTACAGCTCTTCTTCGCTTTCTTCTTTTTTTCTTCTTCTTCTGCAATTAAAGCTAAAATAAGTTGGTGTCACTGCCACTTACTGATGGTGCAAGACACCAGAATGCAATCTGCATGGTGAAGGATCATGATCATCAGGTTCAACTCTATTAACTTCCCAGCTGTAAATTACTGCTATGCTATGTTAAATCCAGAGACTTTTCCTGAGTTAATATTGACCTGGGTCCCCTATCGTCATTCAGGCTAACTGGGTTTTGTTTTTTTGATCTTTAGGAAAAAGTCTTGGATTTTCCAACATGTGATGGGGAACCATTTTTCAGATCACTATTTGAAGCAACAAAGTGTGCAGTTGTAACAATTTTATGTTATTATTCCAGTAGCACTTTTTTAAATAAATGCATTAATTAATTGATTAATCTATTTAATTTTCATATAAGCATAGTAATATAAATAATGTTGTTTTATTGAGTTTTACTTTGAAATATGTGATTTTGGTGTACACAGCAGTGTAGTATTACTGCACCTTTCCTTGAGACTTGATACTTCCACAACACTGAGTACTACTTATAATAATAATAATAATAATAATAATAATAATAATAATAATAATAAATTTTTATTTATGAGTGCCTTTCAGGTCACCCAAGGACACTTTACAATAGGATACTTGACTGTTGCTTGCCTGGGAATAAGGTGGACCAGGTATATACCAAGAATTTAGAAAAGTTTTTGCCACTTTGGAAAATATACTTTTTTTCCCATCATGTTCAAACTTTATTAGTTTTTTGAAATACCTACACATGTAACTGAATAAGTATAAATACAAATATTTACCACTTTTATTTCAATCTATTTGTGTAAATTGGTTTGGTTCTGATGGTTTCTTTGTTGTGTCGTTGTTGAAAGCTGAACAGCAGCTGAACCAAATTGAGTGGCAATAGCACAACTGTTCCAGGAGGGGGCAGAGTGACCCTGCCCTGCTCTGTGACTCCATCGTTGTTTGGGTACAACTGGTTACTGAGTACAATTTGTGACTTTGCTGGATTTAGTTTTCCAATTAAACAAATAAATCAGCATCAATGTCTGCATGTCACTAATCACATCTATTTAAAAAGTACTGATCTAGGACAAGTTTTTGTTAAGGAACGTACAGTGGTTTTTACATGTAAGATCTTCATAATCTGTGTAATTTATTCTTATTAGCCTTGTGCTTTGCGCTGGGCAGAGGGGGAGGGGCGGTAGTTACACTCAGTAGCACAGGAACAGAGTGGGAGGGAGAGCGAGAGAGAGAGAGGCAGGGACAACAACGTCACATTAGAAAGGTATAGTAATCATCCACAACTATTTTCAGTTGCGGCTGACAAAGGATTCAGAAAGTTTATTCATGCAGATCCATATGACAGAGAATGTGCATGTTCTTTTTTTATTTCAATTTATATTTAATTGTGTTGTGGTTTGCAGTGTTTTGTGTTGTTTCATTTTAAATTAGTTTAAAAGGTGAAAATTTAAATAGTTAAAAGTTGAAATGTAAATAGTTGGTTTTTGTATTATATGATTTATTTATTACATTTTATGTGGAGTGAATAAATAAA